TGAACTTTTATTTAAATTCATCACAAATCTGGACATTGGACTGACTTTATGTTTCAACAATCTCATTCAGTTTTAGAACAAAACAAACCTTCATTTTGGATTTAACAGTATAGGACTCGGAGAAGTGATACATGTTTTTGTTTCATTCTAACATTTCAACAGCCTAGGGCATTGAGTAAGACACAAAGTTTTGGAGACTTCAATTAGTCTTTAACACCAACATTTCTCAGCCTAAACCTTAATGTCTCATTTTGATAGAACAGTTTACTATGTGATTGTTGTTTCTGTGCTTAACAAGTTTTATTTGTTCACAGCTTAAAGAGGGAGGTGATGTGTACCCAGGCACCAACTACACGTTTTATATTAAAACAGTGACTGCAGGGTGAATAAAGAGATAGAAGATGGCAGGCCCCATGAAAAGCTAAACCAACGTTTGGTGAGTCTGTTCCTTTTGTCTCATTTACTGGGTAGAAAGAACCCATAAATACAACATAGCGTACCTGATAAATAGTGGAAATGTAGAAAAAAGATAACCTTTCCCGAACCATAAAAGAAAGCATGAAATTCCTTTTCCTTTTTACAGTACTGCATGTGCAAATAAATTTATGTTGTTCCTGAAAAAAAGAAGGTTGAAACAAAGTCTTATCCAACTAGGTACCAGGTATTTTTCGCACGATTGCACGAGTCACATGCTGTTTCAATATCAAAATATTGCTCAAAATGGGTAAAAGCCAGGAACAAGAAATAATTCTTAAATTTTCATTTTTATATTGCCAAAAAGGCAAACCTCATGGGAATTACAAAGTTTGCCTACAAATTTAAATGTAGTTCAAAGTTTTTCAAATGTTGACAAAGTCAGGTCTTTTTCCGTATGCTTCTTTATTTATACATATTCCATCGTGTCTAGAAAGGAAATAAGTACATAAAAGGTTATTAGGCTATACCAGCCAACATAAGACGGAGTACTGCCGTTGATGGCCGCATCTGGGGGTTCCGCCGCAAACACCATTTGGCAAGTGGAATCATACCTGGCATACCACCCCAGAGACCGATGAAATGTAGCACCAGGCCATCTGGAAAACATCACTCAGCTGGATCTGTGGTGCTGCATCCTCCACCAGCTCCGGGGCGATGTGCACGTGATAGTGCCGCCATTGCGCCTTCTGTGCTGGGGTGAGGTAGTGTACCCGAGGATGGCTCGCCAGGGTACACAACCCCACGTCAATAATACACGCACGCCAGAAGCCCCCAACATCACGGCCCAAAATGTTATCAGTTTTAAGGTCGTTATGAAGGAGACCCCTGTCGTGCATATATCGTAGACTGTCCAGCACATCCAGCGCGATGCGGCGCCAGGAAGACGGGGCAAGATATATACGGTTGGGCCCTTCCAGGGCATCCACCAGGGTCAGCGACTAGCCAGTGGTCAGCCACTGCCAGGCCAAAAAAGAAAGGGAATGACGGATGCCCTGAAAGAAGGCCCATTGCCCTCGCCTCCCTCAGGACGGGAAGTCGGTCTAGATCTGTTGTTGCCCTAACGTATTTGACGGCCACTTTGTTTCCATGGAATGTTTCTAGATGAACGGTTCCAAGAGCACCGCTGCCCAAGATGACTCTGCCACAAGTTGGATGTCACAACTCTCTCAGGTCTATCCTTGGGACCACCATGTTCATTGGCGGCAAGAATATCTCCATAGCTATTGTTGGCAAGCTTAGTTGGAGAGGTACGGCAGGTAGCAGTGCTGGATAAAATATCGGCGGCAGCGTTGCTGGGACTGTATTTGAGGCGGCCTAGGTGTCTGATGTGAAGGTGAAGGAGTTGGATGACTTGGTTGGGACGAGTACAGTTGCACCTTAAGAGAGCAAACAAGAACGTCAAATTCCCTTAGTCATCGGCCAAGATCAGCAAATTTTTGTTCAGGTCCACCATCCCTATGTCAACAGGCCTAGATATCACTGCCTCCTTTAGAGATTATTTCGAAGCAATGTGTACCGACAGATTGATTTTTTTTAGAGAAATATGAATCTTTTTCAAGCTATTAATTTCATTTTTAATATATTGACTGACTAAGGCAAAGATTTTGAACTTACCCATTTGTTTGCAAAGAAGGCACATTCAGCTGGAATGTCCTCACCGCTGATTGTTAACCTGTTGCATTGTAAGGAGGCAGTGGCAAAGAACTTTGCTGGCAAGGTGAGACCGGCGCAATCGATGAGACCAACCCAGCCGGTAAGGCAGCAGAGGCGTTCGGAGAGTTGGTCAGCGGTGCACTGTTATA